AATTTTATCCGGATATAATAATGTAATAACGAATTAAGTGGTATTAAGTGATTTTCAACAATTAACCTTATATGGACCGGTTCGGAAAAAATTCCGTACAATGATTTATATACATATATACAAAATAGACATTTACGTCAAATTTTATACCTAAATGTGTATAAAATGTGCGTTTAAGTCATTTTCAGAAATGGCCCTTATATGGGAGTTGTGACCAAATACGGACCGATTCAGAAAAAATTGTATATCTATGTATAAAATGTGCGTTCAAGTAATTTTCAGAAATGGTCCTTATAAGGGAGTTGTGACCAATTATGCACCGATCAGGAAAAAATTTCGTATAATGCAGAAAAAGATCAAGTATAATTTTACTCCAATAGGTGCGTTTAGGTGATTTTAGGAAGTGGACTTTATATAGGAGCTATGATCAATTAAGGGCCTATCCCGAAAAAATTTCGTAGAGTGATTTATGTAAAGACAGAACATATAAGTGTCGAATTTTCTCAAGATAACTTTATTTGACAATGAAATATGTGCGTTTAAGTTATTCTCAGAAGCGGACCTTATATGGGAGCTATGATTAATAATGGATCGATCAGAGAAAAAAGTGGTAAAATGATTTGTATGTACACAAGACTTATTCAAGTCGAATTTTATTCCTATAGCTTAAGAATTCAATGAAATATATGCGTGTGATTTTCGGAAGTGGACCTTATATGGGAATTATGACCAATTATAGGCCTATTCGGGAAAAATTTGGCAGAGTGATTTTTATTTGGGCAAAACATGTTTGTGTCGAATTTTATCAAGATGGCCTTATTTGATAATGAAATATGTGCTTTTAAGTGATTTTCGTAAGTGAGCCTCATATTAGAGTTATGACCAATAATGGACCGATCCGTAAAAAATTATTTTGTAAAATGATTTGTACGTACACAAAATATATTCAAGTCGAATTTTATCCCGATAGCTTTAGAATTCAATGAATGTCTTTATTTGACAATGAAATATGAGCTTTTAAATGATTTTCGGAAGTGGGCCTTATATGGGAGCTATGACCAATAATGGACCGATCCGCAAAAAATTTGGTAGAATGATTTGTATGTACACAAAACATATCCAGCCCGAATTTTATCATAATAGCTTTATTCATCAATGAAATATGTGCGTTTAAGTGATTTTTGGAAGTGGACCTTATATGGGAGCTATGACCAATTGTGGACCGATACAGATCTACGTTGGTAGTATGATTTCTTTTCATATTATATTTGTATGTACAAAATTTGGTGTTGATACCGATATATTTGATTGAGTTATTAACGATAAACTAATTTCCGGGAATATGTACCTTTGTATGGGGGCTATGGGAAATATTGGATCAATTGTAAAGATTTTGAACATAATTGATCACTGCTCTAAAAAAATAAAGTGTGACAAAATTCATCGCAATATCTTTGGTAGTTTCTGAGAAAACTTCAAAAGAATTAGGAAAAAAACGTAATATTTTTCGAGGTAGTCTGAAATTTTTACTCATAACTTCTTACGTTGTGAACCGATTTTGCTGATTTTCAATACCAAACTGCTTAGGATAATAGTAAATATTTTGGTTGAATTTGGTTGATTTCCTTTACTTAGTTTTAACGTGAGCGTGTTTTACACAGACATACAGACAGACGGACATAGCTAAATCGACTCATAAGGACCCAGAATATATATACTTTGTTGGGTCTTAGATGTATATTTCTTGGTGTTACACACGGAACGACAAACTTATATATACCCTCTATCACCACTGATGGTGGTGGAGGGTATAAAAAGCAAAATATGTACATACATTCAAAAAAATTTGGAAAGCGATAATTTTATCTACAATGATGAAATTTAAATTTTCCAAATAAAAATTCAGTTACACAATTATTTTCTTGTATCCAAACAACTGACAACATTTGTCACGATATACACACATAGCTAACTGACTGGATTGACATTTGTGGTTATTATTGTACATGCAAATGTAACACAATCTAACAACAAAAATAACAAATTTGAAAGTAAACAACCAATAGCAAGAAAAATAAGTATTTTAAAATAGAAATGATAACAATAATGAGTGTAAGAGTGAAAGCAAAAACTGGTCCTATTACAAAACCACAAAACAATCAAAATTTCGTAAAAATGTTTAAGCAATTGATGATGATAATTACACCTCTCTCACATATACACTAACTTACTGGGTTGTTAACATTAGTTATGAAATTTTTGAATATTATTCTGAAAACAAGAACATTTAGTTCTTTCCATGATAGAAAGACTATGAAATACACAATATATATTTAAAACCACAAAGTGTATTTTAGACATATTCAACGGAAATTAAAATTTTATAACATTTGCAACAAGTTGAATTTTAATAATAAATGCAAAAATTTTTATAATGAAAATGGTAATAGTCTTTTCATTATAAAAATGTTATTTTATTTTAAAAATATTTCTTAATTTTGACGATATAATTTAAAAGATTTGCAGGATATTTAGTATGACTATTTATTTGAGCGATTAACCGTTGATAGGTTGATCGATACATTTTTTCAATTAACTGTTCGATTAGATGAAAATTAACCATTTCAAATAATGACTGTTAAACTATTTAACAGTTTTGGGAAGATGGTCTCTAAGTACAGTTTTTCAAAAGATGATCTCAATGTAGAATTGTTTTATATCGGATCGGCGGATCTCAACCAACTTTTGACTGCACAAGAACATCGTTATAAGTACACTTAGAACGTTTTATTCGTTTTATTCAAATAATTCTTTGTTGAATTAAGCGAATAAGACAATGAACCTAATCTATAATCTATATTGCACATAAAAAATATTTTTTAAATATATTTTGTTGTAGGCCGTATGAGTGATATGAATTGAAAATATATTATCAAAATATTATGTATACGTTTAGATAGATGGATTAATTTAACATATAGTAATTGAGGACTATGATCTTTTAACAACTGAAATACTAAAACAAGTACCTTATAGAACAATCGTATTTCTAGCAACACTAATCCAAGCTACAAGACATCGAAGTGCTTTACGTGAACACCTGCCGTGTCGGCCTTATTTCACGGTGGTCCTTTTTTAACCACTGAATGAGCTGACAAGACGACTCACCACCTCCCTTTGCAATTTTTGTACATGGTTTGATCGGCCCATGTAAAAGCACTTTGCCCAAATACTCGATCTATCTAATCTCTGATCATTGCAGCCCCATTGCTTAACTTCTGAGATGCAAAAACATCACTTCCGTTTATAACAACACAGATGGGATGGCCTCTGTTGATTCGGCATACCATTGCACCAGTATTCTTGTATGAACAAAATAAACCCTGAACATACCTGGACAAGGAAAGAAAATTCAATGGTATCACTTGTAAAAGATAACTTTCATCCATCACCATTCAACCCAGCACACTTTTTATTCATATAGAACAACATCCGACACACTCACTCTAGGTATACGATCGGATTAGTTCCGTATACCCCGTATATACATATATTCATCATGTATCATTTACACTTAACACCAACGCTTAGTCGCACAGTCACTCCTCTGTGGATTATCAACAGAACTTATCCCGAATTATACACTTCACCGTTAATAAGTCTTTTAACAGACATTCTCTTTTACGAATTTGGGTTCAAAACCACCATTTCGAAAATGTAAACTTTTCACTAAAAAATACTGCTAACGTTCCTCTTAAAATACAAGAAAACACAATCCCATTATCAAAAAATGCAAAATCTCTTGATCTTACCAATCCCATTATCAAAAAATGCAAAATCTCTTGATCTTACGTTAGATTCTAAACTTGCATGTCTAGACTATATACTGAAGAAAAAGCAAGAACTTGAAATTAAGTACAGAAGTCTGGACATGGCTCCATGTCAATACAAAATATAATAATTTGTTTGTAAGCACCAAATCCTGAAACCAGTTTGGACGCATCGATGCTAGCTTTGGGGATGTGCCAAAAATTCAACAATTAAAGTTTTACAATATGAAAAATTAATATACATGGTCAATGCGCCATGGTACGTTCGAAATCATTATCTTCACCGTGATTTAAGCGTAGAGTTTGTCAGGGACGTAGTGAACAAATATTTATCAACACATTTAAAATGTTCAATATTTTTGAACTGATCCGTATACTAGTCCAAAGACTAATTCATTGATTAGACCGTAGAAAAGTCACTAGACTAATAAAAATTAACTACTCAAATTATACTTAAACCTTTAAACTTATAAAAAATAGCGAACGAATAAAAAAAGTAATCATAAAACGTACTCTCTTTGGTAATGTTATTGCTGCTTGTCAAAAAGTAATATGTATGTTTCTGGTTTCTTAACAATGTGAGAAAATGGGTCATTGGTGTACTATTGTACCAAAAAAGTACAATTGTACCAATTTTGCCAACCCTATATCACCCCTATTCTGTATTTCAATTACTTTTCAGCAATCAGTTATCTACGATCAAAAAAGGTATTCCAACAAAAAGCGGAATTGTATAAAACAGAAGAAGCAATTCCATTTCAATGCTTTACCCCTATTCTCCATTTAACTTATCCTTCAAATTCGAGGCTGCTAAATCGACTACGGAAGTAATTGTCAATCGAATGACAATCATGAGCGAAATTTTTTATTTTTGATTTTCTAAAGATTCTAAAGCGCCTATTACGGCCTATATTCCATACTTCTGATTTGCAATATATTGACATCACTAGCGGTATAATGAAACTCAAACTTTAAAATTGATATTTTTGTTATAAGTTGAGCTCAGTGTGAAAGGTACACACTGGAAATACAGTATACAAATACACGAGACTTTCGAATCTGTTTGACTATTTGTGTGTACTATGACTCTATTAAATAATCAGTACACAGGAGCTCCTACAAGCAGCCATAGAATTCTTGTAATAAATAAAATCGTGAAAAAAAACTTACCGCAAAGATGCACCTTGATGTTATGAAGCTGTAATTTAAGTTAAAAGATTATCATTAAGAAAAATTCTAAAATTACAAATTTTACTCACCATTTGATAACTTTTTATTATTTCAGGTTTTACTCAAACATATTTAATTTTATAATAATAACACAATAAATTCACCACTTAAAACTAAAACACTTTACATTTTTATATTTATTAATTTAATTACAAATAACACAACTTGTATTAAGAACAAACATTTGTCTTATACATAAGTCAGAACAACGACGCCATTATTTTTAAGCATGATTTACTACTTGTTTGTTTTGATTCCCTATTCCTATTAAATGTAACGGTACCTTTATATTTATATTAATTAGTTTTTGTGACACCCTGTGACTTTGCACACCTTACCAAATTTGACATTTCCCTTGAAAGTAAACACTGAATATACCACACAATGAAATTGTCAATTAGCATTTTGTCATTTTCGGCATTTAACAGAATTGCGGCGCTGCAAAGGGAAAATAGCAAATGAAAAAAAAAAACTACATAAAAGAGATGAAAAAGAATAGGCCATAAGAAAAATTTTTTGCTTATATATTTTTATACAACAACAAAATAAAATTTAGAAAGAAGTAAAAAAATTAATAGTTTAATCAAAAAGTGTGCAAAAGCAATAGAAAGAAAGGACTTGGGGTAAAAGGAGAAAATTCTTCAGCTGAAAAAACTCATTGAGTGAATCTATTGCTCGAAAGAACGAAAAAGGGAAGTGAAGTAAAAACAGGCAAGGTCGTCATCGTTGTCATCAAGAAAAGAAAAAAGATCAACACACAAGCAACATGGTAAGTTTAGTAAAAATAATCGAAAAAAATAAGAAAAAAGGATTCATAATTTAAACAAATTCAAAGTGTTTAATCCAAGTAATTTACAAATAAACCAATTATTGTCAACCAAACGGGTGGTACTATAATGAGAAACGTTTATGAAATTTCACACTAAAAATGTTATGCCGCTTTTTATATTCCCCCTTTTCAATTTTTAATTTAAATGCTGGCAGTCTAAAGTGAACTTTGACCAAAATTATAAAATTACTTAAATAAATTATTGTAAATCATCAGCAGTTGCCATTGAATAAATACCATCAATTTATTACAGGATGTGTTCCTGATGATCAGAAGACACAAAACAACCATCTTTACGGATGCCAAAGAAAATACTTCAGTGGCCGAATTAAAACGTATGCTGGAAGGTATGTAAATCGAAATATGTACATATATGATATACTTATGTATGTACATATGTATTGAAAAAAAGACAAATTTTCACCTAAAAATGCTTAAAAAGAAATTCGTACCAAAAAAAAAAACCAAAAACAAAACGTCAATTCTATTTTTAGGCATTTTAAAAGTCAAACCTGCGGATCAACGTTTATACAATCAAGATAATGATATTATGGAAGATGACAATACTTTGCAAGATTATGGCATCACAATGTCAACAGCAAAGGCGCAAGCACCTGCTCAATTAGGTTTGGCTTTAAGGTGAGTTTTAAATTAAAAAACTATTTACTCAAATAGGCTAGGAACGAACGAACACCAAGTTGTTACTTTCAATAATATATATCAACGTTTATAATAGTATTAAATTTGATTAAGTCCATGAAAAATATATTATCGCTTGGTAATCAACAAATTATTAGTTTGGTTAAATAGCAATTTCGTTAGCAATTGTATGCGAATTTGTTGCTAGTATAAGCGTACTCTAATTATATATAATTTAATAGAGATGAGGAGTTTATTTCATATATATATACAAACCATTTTTGTCACTTTGTGACATTGGTTATATGGTAGGGTAAAAGGTGAATCGGGAACATCTGTCATCTCATAACAACTCAGCTATTTGTTACATTATCAATTTTTATTTTCGTTTATCGATCATGTCATCCAAAGTAATAAATAAATGAAAAATTTATCAAAGTTAAATAAAATCCCTTGAATATTATTCAAGTAATTCTATAGGTATAAAGTCAATTTAGTAAGAACATTTTCTACACAGAGAGAAAATAATATTTTCTATTAAGAAAATGTAAGAAATTGTCTATAAATAAAGAATTTTTATAAATTTTCTAAAAAAGGCGGCAAGTTTTATATATAAGTAAAAAAGAGACAAGTTAACCAAAACTGTCTCCAAATAGAGATAATCACCCCTATTCTACATTTCGATTACGTTTTTGCTTTCAGTTACGCTACGATCGAAAATAGATATGTATTCCAACAAATAACGGAATCGTAAGAAAATCAAGTAGCAAATCCATTTTATTTCAATGCTTTAACATTGCATGTACTATGCATTACGATCATACCTAAGTTTTTGCAAGTTGTTTCAGTAACGAAACTTCTAATCGAAAAGCAGAATATCAAAGTTGCCAAACGGTAAAAGTTTTGATTCGAATTAAAATGCAGAATAACGGTGATTTTCCAAAAAGTAAATTATCTTTAATGTTTTCTTTAATATTAAATGTTTCCAATATTTTGCATCTCTACGAAATAACTATTATTTATTTTGTAACACATAGTTTCACAAATCGCATACATAAATTTATAAATAACAAACAAACTTTTCAAGTACCACAGCACCTCTGTCATAACTAATATTAATACAAAAAAGAACTTTAGCATTTAGTACTACACGCCTTAATTTCACTCAATTATTTAAGTGTTAATGATTAATAATAGATGAACTCATAAGATAGATAATCATGTTAAAAATATTTCTTAATCGAATACCTTATGTTTTAAACATAAAAAAAAAATAAAGTTCCTTGTCTGGCTACTGCCATTACTGATAAAAATTTTCTGTTTAAACAAAAAACGAAAAGTTTCTTTTTTTTTATTAATAATTTAAATTCAAAGTCTTTCTCTCAATCGTTCAGAGTTCTTATCTTTAATTCGAATCGCTGAGTAACACGTTGAATATTGATAGTCTGGTTGAAAGTCTAATATACATACATATATATTTTTTTGTTTGGTTTTTTCTTAATTTTATTCATGCATTTTGTTTAATGTTATAAAGGTTAAGCTGTTTTATAATCAATTAAAATTACAGCTTCCTGCGTTATAATTGAGTGATATATTTTACTGCATTTAGCTTACAGTTTGCTTGAAAGTTATGCTTAAAATATATGTATACTTATGTATGCATGTAGCATTTTAGCGATATCCGTAGCTTATCAAACTACATGTCGAAATTATAAAGGCAACTTAAAGAATTTGAGATTATATTAGAGATGTCAAAAATCTTTATTTTGTTTTATTTTGATTCCCAAAATAATTTCATTCTATCGATGTTAGCTGAGCCGGTGTCAAAAAAGGACTTTTTTTAGTTACTTTTGCAATGCAATAGATGGTATCATTTGAAAGATTTGCTTAACCAATCTCAAAAAATCTTTATATATTGTACTTAAAATTTGTTTATTTTCATTAAAACTCTTAACATTATTAAAATGTCATTAAAGCTCTAATAAATTTCTATATGCCAATTAATTAAGAACTCTTATATAAAGGTTTAGTCAGTAATCTGATTTTTAATACATACATATATATTTTTTCGCCCTACAGAAAGGAAAGCGGCGATATAGAAGCACTCGAAATTACATCATATTCATCACCACCCGATTTACCCGAAGTCATGAAGAATCAAGAGGCAGCAAATGGTAAAGAACAAGTGGCATAGACGACAGTCAATTGAGAGACATCTACACTACTATTACTACAAAGCAAGAGAATAAGAACAACTACAATAATAGCAAAATGCAAGGCAAATTTTAAACAACACTTTCTTTCTTTCTTTCAACCAACAAAAATTTAATCAATCATTTAACATTACCTTTCCTTCTATTTTTTATTTAAATAACACAACAAATAACATAAAACAAACAAATATTTAAGTCGAATGCAAATACAGGTAATTGCTAAGAGAAAACTATATATAAAAAAAAATAAAAAACCTAAACAGAAAAAACACAAACACTTATTTAAGAAATCGATTTTGACAAACAACAGACAGACAGAAAGGTAGACCAGACAATGATGTATGGAAACGTATTTCACATAAAAGCAAAATGTTTTATCTACCAATACAAATTTACCAGCTTGAAATTTACATGTTTTTCCATCTCTCTTTTTCTAAAACTAAATAATTAAATTTTTAAAATATAAAGTGTTGTAGTAAATGCTAAGATTAACTGTTGTAATTTCACAAGAGAAACATGCAAAAAACTCTCTTTAAATGAGTTTAGTTTTTTTAAGAAGATTTATTTAAAAAATATTTAAAGGGGGGCTCAATGATTTTGATTTTTCACTTTATTTTTCTTTTTTTGTTCATTCTTATGGTTTAACTTTTATAATGTTTTATTTTTGCTATATTTCTGGAAGAAAAATATGTTAAACAAATAAAAAAATAAATTTAAAAAAATTTATATTTTCGAGAACAAAAACAAAATATCTTATTTAAACAAAATTCTAAGCTTAGTGGAAGAACACAAACAAAATGATTTACATAAATAAAATCTACAAATTCTATAGCAACTGAAAATATTTTTTAATTTTCCTTATGTTTTTTTTTTTTTTTTTTGTTTAATTTAAATTGTTAAGATTTTTTTTTTTAAAGAATTCTTAATTTAAAACAGATTTAAAATTTAATAATCATAAAAAAGCCTTGTTAAAAACTCGTTAAAAAAGAAAACCAATTTGTAAGAAATCATTAGAATTAACGAAACGAAAAATAATAAAACAACAAAAACATATTATGATTTTTAGTTCATAATTATTTAAACAAAATAATACAAGTTAAAGAAAGCAAAAAATATCCTTAATTTTCTCTATAAAGGCATTATTAATAATACAAATAATAATAATTACAACACATAAATATAAATTTAAAAACATTATTTTCTTTTTTTTTTAATTTTTATTATTTTCCTCTATTTAATTTAAATTATAATTATGTTTCGGTTTAATTTAATTGAAAATTAAAAAAAAAATAAAAATACTACAAAAAATAATAAAATTAATTTTTATAAACTTAAAAACTAATTATTACGTTGTATTCATGCACTATCCTCTGAGTCGTCGGATATTGTTTGTACTTCTCCCTCCCCCATTTCCTCTTCCTGTTGCTCCTCTACAAAGGTTGCATTCGAGGTTTGCTGTAGTTCTAAATTTTCCAGATATTCCTGTAAACGATCTTGAAAAAAGTTAATATAAGTTTGTTTTTGCTGTGATGTTGCGGGAAAATAATGGCCGCCATTGTGTTCCAAAATTTCGACATTTTTAAAATGATTAGCTAACTCTTGACTCATTTCTTTGGGTATAATTTCATCGGATAAACCATAGGTGTGTAGGGTGGGAATGATAATGGATTCTTCGTAAGCACTTTTGTGAACTAAACTGCCGGATAGGAAGCCAGAGGAGAGTATAGCAAATTCCGGACGTATAGATGTTACTGGAATAAAGAACAAATTTGAAAAAAAATTGAAAAACTACCCCTTCTTTACGATGTCTAGTTATATTTTATTTTTTTTTTCAAAAGTTATCCAACTATTCAGTGGATTTCTAAACTACCACTAGAAACTATGCATACGTGGTAATGTATTACTTTTATACTTACATTTCTTTTTCGCCAGTCCGCATATTAAGCCTACAAAACAGGCGCCCTGCGAGAAACCTAATAGACCCTGAAACGGACCCTGAGTCTTCCAAGTTTCTTCTACAAGTTTTAAACTTTCTTGAAAACCAAATGCTGGACCATTCTTATTGGTTCCCTTAAATGAACCGTCATCCTTATTAAACCACCAGCTCAATTGATCAGGCTGAATTTCAGCACCCTCCTCCATGGGCTTAGCCTTATGGGGAGCATCTATAAACACAAATTCGGCATATTTATTGACATGTTTACGGAATGAGCCCAATTTGCTTTTGAAGCTATCGGCGTTTTGCCGATAACCGTGAAGACATAAAACACGCACTTTGTCTTTTATTTCCAGTTGGGTTTTTTGTTTGCTCGACGATGAGGATGCTGATGATGTATTAGCCTCGTTATTGGTCATAGTGGAATCAATAAAAAAATAGGTACAAAATAACTTTTTGCCAAAACAATTCTTAAATAATTTGTTTTATTGAGGTTAAGTTGAATAAACATCTGTTAGTAATTAAAGAGTATATTCAGTGTCTGTGTCGGTTAATAATAACCCTACAAGAAATGTATGACCGAAACTAACACATACAAAATGATTTTACTAACACACTTGCAACATTTTTCTTTAAAAATTACTAAAAAAAATAGTTAATGGATAATTCCATCAATAATGACGGTCAAATGACCGGTAAAATGACTGTGATTTACTCAATGTGTGATAAAGGGTTTCATTTGCATATGAAAGAGTGAAACAACTACATTTGACTGTCACTGTGTTTTCGTCGCATAAATTAATTATTTCAGTGAAAGCCAAAGATCAAAAAGCAAAAAATTAAAAAATTTAAGACTAAAATTATTAAAAATAAAGAGATTTATTGTAATTTAAAAACGGTGCAGGAAGTGGAGCTGAGAATATACACTTCGGAGTTTAATCTATCTGTGGTAATATGAATACATATCTACTTTTAATTTTTATATTTCAATATTTATATGCATTTCTTTACAGACAATTTATTTCCTAAAATTAAAAGGAGCATAGGAGGATTTTACATTCTGTGAGGTATGTAAAATGGTGAAATGGTAGTTAATTTATGTATATGCTTACTATGTATATTAATAAAATTAAAAATATATATCTTAAAATGTGAATAAATTGTGTTTTATTATAAATTGGCATAGCCGTCAGATTTGACGGATAAATTCATCAAGTGTGATTGGTCAACTGCGATGGATATATCCATAAAGAATGATTAGTCAATCGTGACTAACATTTCCATCATCCTTGATTGGTAAAAAGCAAAAGAGTGAGCAGCTCAAATATATGTTTTAAAATCGGTAGAATTCATAAGTGCAAGGGAGATGCAAGATCACATGTACACAAAAGTTTCCATCAAATTTTTCATATTGCCCTTAAGAACTTGATAGAAACTTTGTTCTACGCAGTGATCGATATTTCCTTCACTAGTGTCAGTCAAATGACCGGTCAAATGACTGTCACTGTTCTTGTAGGGAACAAACAACAAAGAGTATGTTCAATGAATAATCTAATAGATATACTATACCAATTAAAAAAATTAAAAAAAAAATTCTTTTAAATAACTAAATTTGTAGTTTAGTAGTTAACTGTTTTAATTTAATTAACTTGTTTATATTACTTTTATTTTATTTTTAATTAATTTATCTGTATATTGTGTTCATTCACTGAACATACTACTCTGTATAAAATTGTTTTTTTTTTTGCTCTTCTGACATTTACTCATCTCAGCCGGTTCCGCGTTTTCTTATGTAAAGTTTATTGTAAATTTTTTTGTTTCTTACTCACATTTTATTTTTTAAATTCATTTCCTAATATTGCATTTATCTTTTTTTCTATTTCTATTGTTTAGTTTTTATACAACATAAAGAACATTTTGTTATTACGCTTTAAGAAATGTTATTAACCGTTTCGCTTCTAAACAAAGGATCCTTTTTGGGTTCTTTGATTAACAAATGCAGGCAAGTTGTACGAATTAAACCAGTTAACCAATTAGAAACTAATATAAAACCCAACATCTCTACTTCTATAACATCAACAACTTCCATACCAACTATAACTGTGTTAACTGGGGACCAACAATCTGATAGACCTGCTGCTGTGGCCAATCTTAGTTTGAGTAGTCCCTCGCATGTGGCTAAAACTTTGGAAGAAAAAGCTGGTCTACCTCCTAAACCCAAAAAACCATTAACACCCTACTTTCGTTTTATGAAAGAACAGAGACCTAAAATTCAGGCGGCTAATCCAAAACTCTCTATTGTTGACGTAGTGAGAAAAGTCTCAAAAGAATGGGTAACTGCAGACAGCACATTAAAGCAGCGCCTGCAAGAGGAATACAAGAAAGAACAACAGAAATATGTGGAAGCACGTACAAAATACGATGCTAAAATCACCGATGAACAGCGTTCACAATTGAAAGAACTTAAACAGGAGCAAATTGATGCTAAAGAAAGACGTATGATGCGTAAACGTATTAAGGAATTGGGACGTCCCAAAAAACCTGCCTCGGCCTTTTTACGTTTCATAGCTAAGGAGCGTATACTAACGCCTCAGACATCAAATCAAACTTTCAGGGAGTGGCATCAAAAGGCTACTGCCAAATGGGGCACTCTAACAGATGAACAGAAAAATGTTTATATTATGGAATCCCGTAAAGAATTGGAAAAGTACAAGTAAGTGGCTAAAAGTTTGAAAAAGGATTTATTAAAAAATTGAAAATTTAAAAAATAAAATTTTTCATACACCTGTAAAATGTTTATGAAAAATTGTTCACATATTTTGAATTACAAGAAGAAAAATTTAATTTATTTATTTTTGCAGAGTTGAAATTTCCTTATGGGAAGAAAAGATGATACGTTTAGGCCACATTGATGTCATACGTCACGGAAATCTAATTGACCCCCCAGAGCCCAAACCAAAGAAACATTAACTTGTTCCAGTATGAAAGGAGATTCTTAATAATTCATACATACATACAAATATTTCATTTTTCGTTTATCACTACAATTTCATAGAATAAGTTGAGTTCAAGATTTTTTTCTTTTGGTTCTACATACGAAATATATTTTTGTTGTTAAGTTTTATGCCACGACTTTGAGTGTTATAAAAGTTTTGGTAATTGTATTCATTTTCTTTAGCTTTAGAATAGAAGTTTATGTCGAAAGGCAAAGAAAACATATTAAAAATATACTTAAATTATCCAAAACATCCAACATGTTTTATTATTTTTTTTTTTTTAATATGTTTTATTAAATTTTTTATTTGTGTATATAATTAAAAATTTGTATAAACTAGTTCCAATAATTTCGTTGGTGATATGTTTAATCAACTCACTACAACTAGGGACGGAATGTAGACTTAAAATAGTATGACATAATTATAAAAAAAAACATTGGAATGGACGGAAAGTATAAAATTATACAATTTTGTATGTAAACTTACAACTAATAAGACACATTTTTTGTTACAAAGAGATTCTCAGATATTTCGAATTTGTATAAAAATATTGTTTGGTAAAAAATTGTTACTATGAATGGTACTTTTAGAAAAACAACCTAATTAAAATCATAGGTTATACATAAAAACGCAATAATTTGATGACAATAAAACCCAATGTTAAAGATAATACAACTTCGATATTTACTACCGTTTCGAGACGACTTGCACCAGCCTTATAAAAGTCCCAATCGAAAATAATATTGGAGGCATCAGATTGACGCCAAGGATTTTCACCATCATCAAAATACATAGGACAATCATCGCGTTCACGTTCGTATTCTATGGCATCAATGGCGACAGCTGCGCCCTCGCTATGGTTCCAAGAAGTAACATCTTGATTAAGTTTACAAAAAGCACCAACAGCTAAATGACATAGGTGTGGAAATTAAAATACTATATATGTATGTATAAGAATTTTCCTAAGTTTTATTACCTTGTGACATTAAAACTCTGTTTAAATCGGCTCTTTGATAGACCCAACATCTATATTTAGACAAAGGATCCAAATCGTCATAGGTTATCAAGTATGATTTCAAATTTTCCTTCCAGAAACCAATACATTTCATACGATAATCGGGATCACCTTAATTTTAAATATTTATATACATTTCTAGTTTAGTTTCTTTTATTTCTAGGAGAATTTTCTACTTACTGTAAATATCTACTGGTCGACCCAAGTGATCTACAGATAAACAATAGTTTTCATCGACTGCCATTTCCTTTTGATCTGTATCACACACTGACAGATCGGATATGTTTTGTTTGCAGCGTATATCGGGACGTGGACTCAAAGTAACACCACCCAAAATTCTAAAATGAAATATTGAAATGCAGAATTTATCAAAAGTTTTTCTCAATACAAAACTTAGCGTACATTTCAAAATAATGTATATAAAGAATCATAAATCTTCTCGAAATACATACATAATATTATCGAAATTTGTATATAAGTAGCAAAACACTCACCTCGTTTTAAACGGATGTTCACCACGTTGTGTGAAATTAAATTTGCCCGCAACTGGACATCTGACCGGTACAGGATTTTTTGCCAGAAATAAATCATATTTCCAAGCTTCATCATTTTTGAATTGTACCCACGAGCACACAGTACTGAAGTCGTCTTTAATAACCGCCAAACCTTTTCGATAACGAATAACATTATGATGGCGGGGCATAAAATCAAAACAAACGTAATCCTTTTGACAACCGTCGACAGTGAGACGAGCCATCATAATACGATTGCCACGACGTTCTCGGCAAACATAAATCGTACGTCTATAACGAGCCTTATCCGGATAATAGGTTTCATTGATATGTGTCTCACTAATAATGACATCGGCATCAATATTGGCTGTATTAACCCATTCACCAGAGAAATTCTGCGGTAAAGTACAACCAGGTTCCACATACTCCGCTTTGACAGGTGTAAGTTTTAGACGTTCAGGAGAATTTTCAGGAGTTTTTAGAGTATTACACTCGGCAGTAATGGATACACCCACATACAAGTCATCATCTCGATTTTTTAGGAAACAACGATATTTTTCATCTTTACGCGATTCCTTTGTATTGGCCACAGCAAAGTAATGATTTTTACCCACAAACCAATCACCCAAACAACTGTATTCAACTAAACCACTAAAGGTGCCATCCATACCCTCACACTGTTGATAGGTGATATTAAACTTTTGATTTTGTATCAAGAACTGTGTACCGGCTGTTTGACAGGACTGTATTCTGGCATCGGGCTTGTCGCAGACACCTGTAAAACGGAATCGATTTTGATAGGTAAAATGCCAGACACCTTCCAGCGAACTGCGACAATTGATGGGTACAAAGTTTTCATTAAACAACGTAATCAATTGTTGGTCATCCTTTATGCCACGACAAACATTTTGTACCGAAGGCTTAGAACCATCGGGTATGGTAACACAGGGACCTGAAAATATCAAAATTGTTTACATGTTTGATCTATAACTTGTTGCGAACACATACTTTCAAATTTCTCAAAAACATTTAAGGTCCTTATGAAGGTTTTCACACAATGATAGCAACCCTTGCCGCGTTCTTCAAATACAAACGAGTACTCATCACCGTGATGTTTTTCCATTGTTATGCAGTAGCCTCGTTTACTCATTTGTCTGGCATCTATTACCGTCTGTGTGGGTAAACCAGATTCCCAAGAAAACCATGATCCCTGCAGAATCTTAGGTATAGTACAATATTGTTCCTCCAATTGATTGTATTGACAATGGGCTATATAATATTTAAAGAGGAAATTTGAGAATCAATCAATTAAACTCCCAAATGAATCAACAAGCTATCTTCTTGGCTTGAGCCAGGGGTGTGGCTTAAGATATCAGTCATTCTTGTTTTCAATACGCTAATATTTACCTGTCACAAAAATACCCATAAGGGTAAGTAATTCGTATAATTTCATTATAATTTAATACTAGTATTATATTAACACCTTAACATAACTTTCTTTAATATTTTTAATTTTCTTTAATATAAAAAATGTTATTAAAAAGAACACTCGCACGAAATTAACAAAACACTAGAAGAACAATGTAAAAAAACTATGCGTACTCGAGTTGCCAACTGTTGGAATGGAAAGAGTTTGTTTGTTAATTTTGAGCTGCCAGATTAAAACAAAAGAAATTACTCTAGAAATGAATTCCAAAATAACAAAATCTGGTAAAAACATATTTCAAAACATTTAAATTTATGAATAAATAAAAAATTAATACAAGTTTTAAATTCGTTTCAGAAAAGGGCATTTTATCGAAATTCTAAATTTAATGACTGTTTATGGGAACCTAAGTAACTTACTAATGAAAAAAATAGTAAATTATTAAAATTTCTTTGTTATTTTTTGTTATTGAAATAAATAGAATAAAAATCAAAAATAATTGTTATTTTCAATTTTTTATAATAAAAATCTATAAAAAAAAATGTTTATTAATGAAATCGGTAAAAATATGTGTGGAAAATATTTTGGTGTAATCAATAATTATTTTCGGTTTGTGATATTTTAATATTACATATTTTTAAAAATATTTTATTTGATGTATTTTATATATATAGTTATAAAAAATCACAACAGTGTTCTTACATACGAAAAACAAATACAAATAAAAATAAATGTTTAAAAAGACAAAACGACAAATATTAAATCGTTGTTAAAAATGAAAATAAATTCTTATATAAGACATTAAAATCATAAAGAGTATTCGGTTCGAAAGACGCGACCTCAAATCTGTTAAATATTTTACTATGCAGTGGCGTCTCTACGTCTTTCAATAATTTTTTAAATATTATAAAATAAACGTTATATGTGATAAGTAAAAAACTAATAATTTAAAGCAAAAAATTATTTAAATATTTTTCAGTTAGTACGAATATGAAAGCAAAAATAAAATTCGATAATTAGAAACAAAAATACGACTGCAATAAAAAACTCTACTTCTCAGTATACGCCATTTATATTGTTGTGAGAGGAAGGAGTATTATTATCCTGTTCCTCCAAAAGTCTTCTTGTTGAGGATGTTGTAGAGGAGGCACCAGAACTGCGACTTCCACTAACTTTTTCCGCTTCAATGCGCCCGGATAAAAAGGTGGCCAAACGTTCCTACATTAAATTGAAAATGTAAATTTTAAAAAGAGTTTTACAGAGTTTTAAACTGAAATAATAACTGGACGGAAATTTTGTTTAAATAATTTATAAAAATAATACAAATTTTAAAATATTGTTGTATTTCTCATACATAAGTAAAATATAAAATTTTTGTATTATATACTGAATCATGGGACCAAAAACATTTTTCAAACTGTGTGATGTTTATACATTCCTTTTTTTTTAATAAGGTTATTAATACTAATATTTACCAAATAGGCATTAGAAAGATTTTGTAAGTTGCCATAAAAGGTGACCATGCGTTTTATTAATGTCTCGGCTTCTTCTTTCGATAAATTTTTAACTTTATCCAATTTTGTTATGTTAATCAAACGATTATTGAAATATATCATGTGGTGTACAACTTCTGTTGTAGTATGGGATACAGTTCTAAAAAATGTTAGGAAAATTGTATAAATGTTGTTATTAAATAGAGAAAAAACTTACTTGGGTATATTGGCTGCAACATTAGCACCAAAATTAACTACATGTACCAGACGTCTGGCCGATTCCCGTGTTAAGAGAACAATTAATTGTTCCAGTGTTACAGGTCTGGCTTGATTCTCTGGTTCGTCAAGACTTAAATAAGCCCAAAGTTCTTTGGCTTTTTGTAGAGCCAATTTTGGATCGGTAGCAATCTAGAATTTGTCAAAAAAAAAGGTATCGAAATATTTATGGGGATTTAATTTTCAATATGTAATTGTAGAATGTAAACAAATTTACCAATTCAGCAGCATATAAGCATACATGTATTGCTTCTTTACTTTGTTTTTTAAGTGCTCTAGCTTCCGCTATAGTTCTTTGGGTTAAACGACGTTTGAGCTTACGCGAAAAACGTTGGCCGTGATGAATTGCCTTGATGGCGCCTTTTTCATCCGGTGCATCTACATTGTTATCTTCATCATTTGGTGCTGAAATATAAAAACAATTATTAACACATATTTACATTAGGGTGGCTCCGTTTGTATGGAGAAAGATGAGGTACTGATGTTTCCATCGAAAATTTAAGATATCATTTCTCAAAATTTTTTCATTTCTGAATTTTCGGCGAAAACATTATTAGGGGCCACCCTAATTTACATATAAAAATTACGTAAATATTTTTTTTATAAAATTTATTATCTTGTGCAATTTAAATACTGAAAGGCATTAATATGTAAATATTAGAGCCCTGCATGAGTAACTCTATTTGCTACACACAATGAGTGACTCATTGCTTTGCACTCAACTCATTGTTTGTTTAGAATAGTATTTACAAAGTTTTGTTATACTCAAACGTTGTGAGTACTATCAAGTGAATGTGCAACTACATTCAAATCGAGCGAGTAAACAATTTGTTTATGTTAAAACAATACAAAATAGATTGTTTGAATCGAATGAATCGATTCAAACTTTTTCTTGAATAAATGGTGAAAATTTTGAATGCTGTTAAAACTAGTTCCTGTGGCCCGAATTCGCTGAAATTTGGTAGTCTTGAGTACAATTGATGACAAGATAATATTATGTTCGAATATTCGAAATTAAGTTCGAAAATTCGAAGTTATGTTCGAAAAATTTTTTATGCTTTTAAATTATTCTTTGAGTCCAAAAAACTAAAAAAAAATTTTCGAAAATTCGAACTCATGTTCGAAAAAAATTTAAAGCTGATAAAACCAGTTCCCGTGGACCAAATTGGCTGAAATTTGGCAGTGTTAAGTACAGTTGATGACGCTACTATATTATCTTCGACTATTCGAAATTAAGTTCGAAAATTCGAAGTAATATTCAAAAATCTGTTAATTTGTCGAACTAATGTATTGTTTCTAGATAAAGTGTGAGTAGTTTGAGTACAAATTTTACTTGTATTTTGTTTTTGTTACAATAATAAAATACAAGTAAAATTTGTACTCAAACTACTCGCTCGTTATCTAGAAACAGCACATTAAAAATTGTTTTGCTTTCACTCGATTCACTCACTGTATACTACTTGAATTGAATCACATAAACACTCTCATTACTTGTTTCGTTTGAATTGAGTATTGACTAACATTCCTTATTTTCAAATATACTATTCATTTCATTCATAAAACAATGAGTGAGTCAAACACAGTGTTTGAAAAAAATCAAATGTTTTAATTTATTATTTAAGTCACTCATGCAGGGCTCTAGTAAATATTAATAAAGGGTCTTTAATTAAGTTTTTTGTTTTGAGAAATAATTTTCAATTAAATACTTTTTTTAATAAAACTTCATTACTTATTAAAGTGCATTCTTAAATATATTATCTTTGCTTAATTTTCAACACAATTAACTTTAATATGTCAAATTATCTTCAAAATTTGAAATCTCTTTTTAAACTTTGTTCTTTGTATAGAATCTATACATGGGAATTTTTCATTAAGCATTCAAATTTCATTACCATTTATAGAAAAAATTGTAATGAAAAATATTTTAAGTACCATTTAATGAAAATTATATTTTTTTCATTATAACTTTTTTTTGATAATGGTAATGAATTTGATAATGAATTTTCAAAAACGAATTTAATTAGTATTTATAATTGTCGAAATATATATTAAGAAAATTTTTCGAAGATTCGAGTTTTGAAAGCTTTTAAAACCAGTTCCCGTAGCCCAAATTGGCTGAAATTTTGCAGTCATAAGTACATCTGCTGACAATACAATAATATGTTCGAATATTCGAAATTAAGTTCGAAAATTCGAAGTTATTTTCGAAATTTTTTTATGTTTTTAAATTAATCTCTGTGTAATAAAACCTAAAAAAAAAAATTTCGAAAATTCGAACTCGTGTTCGAAAAATTTTTAAAGCTGTTAAAACTAGTTCTTCTAGTCCGAATGTGCTGAAATTTGGCATACATGATTTCACCTAATGACAATACATTATAATGTTCGGATATTCGAAATTAATTTCGAAATTCGAACTAATGTTCGAAAAGTTTTAAAATCCATTGAATAATGGTTATGAAAATTTATTTTTAAATAATTACTAATGAAATCGTTTCATTAAAAACCATTACCATTAGACAAAATAATGCTAATGAAAAAAAATAATTATAATTTTTTTCAATTTAATGCTAATGAAATCGTCAATTAATTAGTCGATATAATTAACTACTCCCATGTATGGTATAGATTAAATAAAATTAAAATTTACTTTATTGAAACAAAACAGGAAACAATATATCAAAATACCTGTCACCAATTTAGTTCAAAAGGTTAGATAAATATTCATTAATAATACACAAATATGTTCCATATGTATTTATTATTAAAAAAAATTTTGTAATGGCAGTGTCTACAATTTTTTAAGGAAATATTAACTTTCTAAAGAGGATAACATTTCTGACCACTTTACACTCTTATGAGATTTATACCGCCATATAATAAAAAATATCGAGGTTTATTTACATGCTCCTCATGACCGAATATCATTACATTTGAGTTTTTGAACTTAGTACTAAAAAATATGCGCCACTCTAAAGAATTTCACATAGTTTTATTTGATTTGGAAAATTTTTATTATTTTCGATGTGATAACATCAAACGAGTATTTTTAAGTAAAAAAATTATTTAAATTAAAATGAGAAAAATCTGGTTTCATTTTGCAAACGACTTGATTTATTTAAAAGTTTTTTTTTAAGAAATAGTAAATTGTCATATAATATTCAAAGACGTTTTGCTCGAAATGTTGTTTTTGAGTTATAGCAATCTTTCAGTAAATGTATGTCCAATATATCACATTGGATTATTATATTATAAAATGTGGTAGGGTAATGAGTAATTAAACTTAACTCAACATTTCATATATAAAATTGAATTTGAATATTATACCTTATCAATGCAAGTAAGTTTTTTTTTTTTTTCATTCTTAATTTTTTGCTGTACCAAACCGACGAATGAGGTGAAAATCAATAATCGACTTTGTCTTAATATTTATTTATAAATATTTTTAATGAAAGATTAAAAGAGACATTATTTATTGTTTTCTTTTCTGTCGATGTTTTTTTTTTCCCAAAAAAAAAAATTTAACAGGAAATGATAACCTTCGACTACTTAAATGACTGTTTTTGTTTTCATATTGTGTTCAATCCAAAAAAACAAAACAGATAAACAAAACTGTACAATGAAATATTTCTAAAACAATTTCAATTAACTTACCATCAGTTTGATCGCCATCAACCTCAATGGGCACTAAATATTTATCGACAAATTTATCACCAGCCGTTAGAGCTCCCTCCAAACGTTCGGCCGCATAGGTGGTTATTGGACTTTCAAGCACCGCATTACCAATCTGTTTCACGGAATCGGCCCGTTTGAGTACCGGTTTAACCAAATGATCTGTCATGTATTCCTTAGTATTCCAATACATCTTTAAACCCATAATAATAGTCTAATAATCATAATATGCAATTAGCCTAAAAACTAAATTGTCTCAACTTACCAGTTCGGGTGGTAAATACACCAAGGGGGCACGTTGCTCCAAAATATCCAAACTCTTACACATCACCGAGTCCAGACGTTTTAGGGGTGCTTCGAATAGTTTCACCGCTGGCTGTACCGATTCATAAGCGGATAAAATAGTATATTCAGCAGTCTCAAAATACCAGTTAAACAGCCGATTACTATTCTTGACTTTGGCATATAGATTTTCCACCTGTTTTAAACTTGTCTCGATTAATGGTATACTGCCAATGCGATCGATTGTCTCCAGATGTAATTTCGTGCTTGGCGTATTGGCTTTATATGTGTTTTCAATAGAAATTTTAAATTTTTTAATATTTATTTCGTAATTATTTAAAACATTTTTTTACTAACCCATTTTAAATAATTTTATATTTTGTCGATTTTATTGAAAAATGTATTAGGAATTTTATATATTTTTTTAAACACCTTTTAAATTAATCCGCTGTAACGCGGTCCGTTTCGTAAACGTTCTCGTTCAAGCTGTATATAAAAACTAAATCTCATTGACTTTGAAACGTACTTTTTTAAAATCATTTATTTTCGATTCGTGCAAAGTTTCTCTACGACTTCGGTTTAATCATTAAAGAGCTTCAAGTTTTAGCTTTATGCAACAATATATTCATTATAAATGATAATAGATGGGGAGAATACTTTGTGTTTAAAAATTTTAATTTCATAAAATAAATCACTATCTGAAATTTGGAAGATAATGTTATTGTGCTCACTCAGTATAATGTTGCATTAATAACACGGTGTGACAAAATTACAAAAAGTGAATATACTCTCTCCACCTGATCTAGTGTCGTTTGTAAGTCTAGCTGAGTAGTTTACAACAGCATATGTATTTAGAATTTTTAATATACCCGAGAAGGTAAACATTTTTAGTCTGACAATAGTTAAAAATCTTTCGATTTTCGAAGTTTATTAACAATTCTATATATGCTAGAGAGATCTACTCAACTAGATCTATAAACCGTATATGGTCACATGTTGAGTAGTCTTTTGCTGTCACACAGTGTTATGAGCAATGCTTCCATACTTAACTTCATATCAGTAAAAATAATCGAATAAGTTAAAACAATTGATTCGGGTCATTTAGTTGTAATTTTATGAATTCATTTAAATATTATCACATATTGGATATCCCCAAAAATGCAGATTTTAAAATTCTAACATAATGAATTTTAAATTTCAAAATTGTTAAAAAAAATCTCCAATTTCAAGAGCATAATATTAAAAAGTAGTCATTACTTGGTTTATGACCAGGTATTTCTTAAAGACTTTATATCCAGTCGAATCCTAATTCGAAATGTTCGCAATATTTTCTTATAAGAGTTGTCGTATTAACATCCTTAATAGCCGATTAAATACTGCATTGTTTTGGTACATGAAATGTATAAGAAATCTCCACTATTCCTTATTCTAGAACCAGCAGTGTAGATCTCTAATGGATATTTTAGACAAATGATCTTAAAGCAAAAATGAGGGTTAAACACATTACCAGGTAAGTACATTATAAAATTTAGTCAAATTATATTTATTTCATAAATTAAGTATTGTATCAAATTATATGATTAACACAGTATATAATATATACTTCATTATAAACAATAAAAAATAGAAAGCTTGACCCTTGAGAGTCTCCTAGAGATAAGGCACATGCCGGCTATAGCTAAGATTCGAAATGACAAGATAGCTGTGTGTGCAGTTTTTATTAAGATTGAAACAACAAAATTTATAAAAATAGTAAAAGTTTAAATAAAACTGAATATTTAAATCCTATTTAAAACTATAATATAAGCTTATACACATATAATATATCAAAGTTCAGTTTTTTTTTTATTGTTTTGATTTTCAAAATAAAAATTCATTGAATATCAGTACTATTTTGTCAGCATTAGGTGTGGAATGAATCAGTGTTTTTAGGAGTACATACATATTTCCATTGAGAAATAAAAAAATATTTTAAATCTATATAACATAAAAACTGGCCACCTATAATATTTTTTATGCAGAGACCGTTACATTCGAACCATTAATAAGCCTTATCTATTTTCTTGAAATTTGTACTTTGATTGCTTGTGAAAAAAACACGTAATTTTCCTATGATCATTTCGAAAATTGATTTCCAAAGAGATTGAAATGAGTGACAGTTAATAACTTAAATAGAAGATTGCAAGTCCAGATATGTACATAAGTATATGCTTATTTTTTTAAATTCCTTATTGCATTTCCAAATATTTTTTAAGATAATTTTTTTCATATTTTGCGATCGTTGCTAAGTACGTGATCATTTTGTTATAATATTGTAACACCATTCTTTTAATTATTCTTTTTTTTCCAATTTTTAATCTGCTATAGACATATTTTATTATTAATATTTGTTTTAATTAAAAAGGAGATGAATATTAAAAAAGAATTAATAGTTCAATATGTAAACGTTATCAAAAAAAAAAAAAAGATGGTGGAACAAATTTCTGTCTGATCACAGTCTAGAATTTCTGATGCAAGATTATTTTGTTAATGTAGAGTACTTGGTAGAAGTCAATAACATAATTTGTGTTTAAGTAGCTAAACAATTTATGTTTGAACATATAACATATAACATATGGAAAATCATGGTTTAAAGTTTTGATATTATATTCTAAGGTCAGTAGATATGTGTTCTGATGGCCATTAAACAATTCTTAAACCTATAACTAATAAAGAAAGCTTCTAGACTGTTTTCTAACCATAGTTTTGTCAAAAAAAAAAAAAAAAAATAACATCTAAACAAGATCTTTAATGTCGGTCAACTCCAAACGTGATGCCTAAAGAATCTAAGACAAAAATTTTATCATTTATAAGAGTTTAAGTGATTTCGCGAAGATTAATTTTGACATCTAAAACAAAGGCCGACGAAATTTAAAAATATGTAAGTCGAAACTCCATTACATAAAGTTTTCGAGATATTATTCTAAAATAAAAAAAACTCCAGGGTTTCTCTTTATTCAAGACGAATGAAAATCTTATAAACGGTTAATCCGATTTTAATTCCATATGCGTAAAGAGGAAGTGTTGTCGTGTTTAAGTTTTGACATCTCGGGCATGTAGAGTACTAGAGTAAAAAAGAACATATTTCATTCTAAGGTACCATTTCTCATATTTTTTGTCCTGACGTCAATATTTTGGTGAGAATATATAGGACCTTTTTTAAGTTTTTATAATTTTTTTAATATTTCTTATAAGAAATGTCATCAAAATGTACTTTTAATGATAATCGACGTTTTGATTGAAAATGTTCCGCATCAAAATACATGTTGTCACAAATTTTTAGGACTCTATGTCAAAAACATAGGCGGCACATTTACACTCAAAAATGTTTATTGATGTTGGGATATAATACATATAGGCAATTTCATATCAAGTGACCCAAATTAAAAAAATCGATTTTGACGAAATTTGCACCAATGTTAGTATTATTGGATAGTAGGCCAGACACAAATTTTCAGCGCTATCGGTCTATAACTGCCGGGCTTAGAGGGGGTCAAAGTTGGACATTTTGGTCATACAGGGTTTTATTCAAATGCGTGCAACTTTTCACCTATTGGTCCCAGCAAAAATTGTCCAAAGGAGTTTTATTTATTCAATGTTTCCAAAATTTAGACAGTTTACTTTAAGGTCATTATAGTCCCATAATGGGATGCGAGTGGGACATCTATCAAAAAAAATATTTTTTAACTTAAGAACACGATTTTTTCAATATTTGGCACTTTCAAAATAGACGTTTTTGTATAATTTTTTGCTCTAAAGAAAGCTTAGACCATTTTCTTTACGAGCTTTATAGTTATAGTGGGATGCAATCGGCTTATGTAAAAAAAATAATATTTTAACTCAAAAACATTGCTTCTTGAGTTCAAATATGTTTTTTATAGATATCCCACTCGCATCCTACTAAGTATCCACAAAGCTCTTAAAGGAAATGGTCTTAGCTTTCATTTGAGCAAAAAAGCTGCAAAAACGTCCATTTTGAAAAAATAGGGGAAAATTAAGTCTAAGCTTTCGTTTTAGCAAAAAAATGGGGGTTTCTAAAAAAAAATTAAATTATTAAAAAAAATTAAATTAAAAAATGGAAACATTGAAGAAATAGCTATCTGAACTCCTTTGGACAATTTTTGCTGGTACCAATAGTTACACGCATTTGAATAAAACCATCTTATGACCAAAATATCCAACCAAAATATTCAACTTGTTTTTATTTTGTTTTATTGTGTTGAAAAGTGTTGTTATGCCCTTTGACATTTCAGGAGACGATATATAACTCTCATTGATTGAAGAATATTGAAGAAATATTTAATTTTAACCGAAATACACACAACGGTTATTCTTCAGGACACTCTAATGTACTACATATACATATTATAAATAATAGTAATTGACATTATAAGTTTTTTACCTTATTTTAGCAATTTTCATAAGGCCTTTTTGTAATTATTTCTATGCGTTTATTATATTGATTGATTGCATTGCATGTACTAAGTTTCTTTAAAAAAATATTGTCTATAAAATTTCAGCTCCTCAATACTATCGTAAATATCATCTAAACTTCGATGGGCAAATTTCTTTTTGGGTGCTGCATCTAATAATTTAGGATTCCATCGTCGTGCTAATTCTTTAATGGTAGAAACATCAATAATACGATAATGCATATAGTCATCTACTAAGGGCATCTCTTGACGTAAAAATAACCTAAAAAATAAAATAAATTTATTCGATTATTAAATTATCCATTTAAAAATTAAACGAAAAATATATTTACTTACCTATCCATATAAACCGAATTACCCGCTAAAGGACATTTGCCTTTAGGTATATGCTGTTTTAAAAAGTCAACTATCAATTGTTCACCTTTTTCATTTGTTATTGGCGATTTCAGGCATTTCTCTACCAACCCCGATTCATTGTGGTGCTTAATGCACCAATCATTCATTTCACGAAAAACATTTTTCGGATGATTGATGGCAAAGCAGGGTCCTTCGGCTAGAACATTTAAGTTTTTATCCGTTATAAGACATGATACTTCTAATATCTTGTCTTTAATTACATCAAGACCAGTCATTTCCAAATCCATCCATACAATGTCGGTGCAAAAGTCTTGATTTGAGGTCATTTTTTGTGTTTCCCGGGAAGTGTTTGTTAATTTTCTTGTGGCCAATGTATTGGGCAGGAGTTGGAGTAATATTTTGTTGGCAGTTAATAATTTGTTTAATACAGAAATCATTTATTTTCCTTTTTTTCTAGTACTCTTTTTAATTTAGTATCACGTTAAACACAATATTAAAAAACTAATGCTCATTAACTAAAATAAACATATCATGTGTGTTGTCATTAGGGTTACCAGTGTTGGTTTAGAGACACAATACTTAAAACTATTTTGACAACCATGAAAACTAATAAATAGTACATATCAGTCGTAATTCAGGTCTGAGTTGGGGAACAACTCTCGCGTTATCGCCATTATTTTTTAAGGACACATTCGCTCCAATTGAGTGTATTACTCCTTATAACTGTTTCCAATTTATGCGTTGTTTGCATTAATTGCGTGCTTTCGTTTTACTTACCTCATTCGAGGTTATGATACTTATGATTAATTAATTGTTCGGGGCTCCAACTTCTTGTATAAAGGTATAGGTCGATTGGAGGGCTCTCGTGGGATAACCTGGCATCTTGAGTGTTTTAATTACACCGCCAAAAATTACAGAGTTAAAAAAATACATAGTACATATTTAAATTGAAGTGAACAAGTGATCACTTTCCGTCAATAAACATTTGTTTTTAGTAGTGTAATTTTTTGTCTAAAAATATATTAAAATTTGGCAACTCTATTGTTTTAAATACCCATTTATACAACTGTGTGTCTTAGCTTCCTGACGTTTAACAAAAAATTTTCTGCATTTTGGTTAAAAAAATACAAAATAATAGCAAATTTTGCTAAATTTTAGCAAAATTTTAAGAAAAAACATAAATAAACTTATAAAAAGAATTTACAAGACATTCTTGTGTTTTATACTAAAGCAACAACTGAAAATTGGTGTATCTTCGCCATACCCACAAACCTCCACAAAAAAAATTGTATACAAAAAATACTTTTAATAAACTATTTTCCCATTATTTTGCCACAGACAAACTGAAACCGTAACTGAAAAAATGAGTTCGGAACAACCCAGTACATCGAAAGAATCCTTTGATGTTTTCTACACAGAAGTAAGTAAAATATTACTGGATGTAGTCAAACAACTCAGCTCTTTTTCAATGTCGTTGTTTATGTAAAGAGCCCCAAATCCATATGTAAACAAACAGATGAAAAATAAAAAAAGAGACACAACCTTTGCATTGTGTGACCATTATTAGGTTTAGATTTGAATTTGTTGTTAAATTAAAAGATATTTTGCCATATTCACAGGTTAAAGAAATTGAAAAACGTGATTCCGTACTAACATCTACTCAACAAATTGATCGTTTACTTCGTCCAGGTTCAACGTACTTTAATCTCAACCCCTTCGAGGTGTTACAAATTGAACCGGAAGCCACAGTTGAACAAATCAAGAAACGTTATCGTCAATTGTCAATACTAGTGCATCCGGATAAGAATCAAGATGATAAGGACCGCGCTCAAAAAGCGTTTGATATTATAAATCGTGCCTGGAAGACACTGGAAAACGATTTGGGACGCAAGAAATGCTTAGACGTTTATGAGGAAGCCAAAGAGAGAACAGATCATATGGTAAGCTCTTTTGAACTTCGAAAAATATATTAACCGCTTTTATATAAAACCAATACTTTCTAAATTATTCTGTTTATCATTTCTTGCAGATTGCTGAAAAACGCAAAAAGATTAAAAAAGAAAATCGTTGTTTTGAGACCATACCCGAGGATGATCCTGTCAAATATAAACATGCCATTTACGTTATGGTAATGAAATTATTTGCTGACATGGAACGAAGACGACAACAGCTGGATCAACGTGATCAAGAGGAGCGTAAACGTAAAAGAGAGGCCGAAATCGAAGAGGAGGAAAAACGTAAAGCCGACAAAGAATGGCAAAAGAATTTCGAAGAATCCCGCCAAAGTCGCGTTAACAGTTGGCATGATTTTCAATCGGGTAAATCGGCCAAGAAGGCTAAAAAACAAAAACGCATGCATGGCATGATGATGCCACCGAAATTTAAACCGGAAACACGATAAATATTGTTTGGTGGTATTAAATTTTAAAATTATTAAATCTTAAGTCCACCTATATAATTTTTTTCAACTACTTTACGTTGTTTCAAAATCATCAACGTGTTCTTTTTACAAACATTACATATTTCTTTTCATATATATTTTTTTGTAATCTTTAGATTTATAATAATAGTTTTAAACAAAAGAAACGTAACAACTAAAATATTCACAATTCTATAAAAAATCTTTAAATTGATATATATATATATGCATGTTGATGCAAAAAAATTACAATTAAAATTTTAGAATACTGGCATTTACATTTTATGCTAACATTCTAAATATTGAATCTGTGAATCTAACAAATGATGTTTCTTTTAAATGTAGTACGAGTACATAAGTTAAATATAATTTATGTTCGTAATAAAATAATTAATTTTGATATTTTTAATTATACATTAAAAAAAAGAACAAAATACAAAAAAGAAAATAGTTTTAAAGCGAAAATGTGGTGTTATTAATTTGTTCAAGTTCTTAAATCTGTACTTTAACGATTCTACTGCCATAACACATATGTACAAAGATCTTTCTATCGGTCAAAAAATCTATAACTTTTTTTAAAAAATGTCCCTTTTTTTTTAATTTTACTTGTGAAAACAAACTTTTTGTTTTATATAAAATTATTATTACAATTTATTGCTTTCAGCAATTTGGGTAGAAATTTCTTATTACAATTTTTAATTATATTTATGCAAAAAATAAACTTACCCACCATTTGCAAACAACGATTTTTAAAATGTTGTATACAAACTGGCCGTAAATACAATGTCACGTTTAATGGCATTCGAGGCCTCTTCCATTTTAGATTGTAAATCGGGATTGCCAATGCGTATAGCGGCAGTTTTGACATCGCGTAATGTCTCATCCAACTGTTGAATGCAACGAACAATAATACCCTCTTGGACTTCAGTAAGATTCATTATTTCAGCAAATGGCTAAAAGTAAGAGAAATTATTTAAATCATATGAAGGGCTAGTTTTTGTTATGATTGTTAAACTTAATTTAGCAAACAATTCATTTCAACTTAAAGTAAATTTATTTGGATTTTATTTTATTTAAATAAACGATTTTCGATTGACGATTTTAAAATGAAATGTTTAAAGAACTGCTTAAACATAGCTTAACTAATCATCTTTAGAAAAGCTAAAAGTAACACACCAGAGAGTTTTTAATAATTAACTAAAAAAAAATTACCTTATTGCGAGCCCATTCATAAACAACCTCAAGTAAACCAAAGTTTAAACGATCTTCCGATTCGGCCACAGCATGACGTCTCAACTCTTCAGCCAATATATTATCATTGATTTCTTCAAATTCTTTAACACACTAAAATCACAAATATACAATATAAACGTTTAAAAAGTGTATAAGTGAATTAAAAAAAATCAACCTTTTTCAGTTTTTCAGGTATGACGGGTTCGCCCTGTATTTTAGCTTGAAACACTAAACCAGACAATAAGGCAGCTATTTCGGCTGGCTCCAGATCATTAAACATATTACAAAGTATTAACTCTGTGATCAGCAATTCATTTTGTCCCATTTCACAGGCAACTTTACCCTTGAGAGTAACTAAATAAATATTTTTGAAGAACTAAGTAAAACAAACTGTATTATTTAACAAACTTACCTTCATCCAATTCATCAATGTACTTTAAAGCTCTCAAAACTTCCAATTTGTTACAATAGTCGGGGTATAAAGAAAGATTTTTTGTTGAATTTTTAAATTTCAATTCTTCAATACGTTGTTCGAGTATTTTACGCTCGTAGACATTGGCAAATTCTTCTTCGAAGCCGGCAATGTTTGTATGCGGCAAGATCTCTTGCAGTTGGCGCCATACATGTTCCAAATAACGTATTTGAGCCATTTCCGTATCGGCATTCACATTGATTTCCTTCGACATATTGATAAATTTCAAAGTATCAGGATTTTGTATGTAGTTTTCATTTATTTGATGTAATTCCGAAACTACTTTAACCACAGTACTAGCGGGTGGTGAATCTTTAAAGCGTTCAATTTGTCTTTGTTCCCAATTGCGAATAACTATATCTGCTTCAATTTTCATAGAAGATTTGGTAATTTCTACAAAATCGGGTGCTTTTAAATCAAGTATTATGTGACCGCCAATACCTTCTGGGTGAAAGAATTTATGCTGAGGCGTAAGAGCTACCATTTTATAGTACATCTCACCGCGCTGAAATTCGTTCTATTGAAAGGGTATTACAATTTTTGGCTATTCTGTGCTTCTTAAATTCTATATTGTTATTACCTTGTTATCCGTTTTAAATTGATGATCCAATACTAAAACGCGATAAACAGCATCCTTGCCAGCTACAGATTTAATGGACAAAACCACGCCTACTTTATTATAGTGGTTTCCCTTAGTCACAACTACAATGCGGCCTACTTTAAGTTCTTTCACAATTTTCGGTTGAGCTATTAAAAATTTCTAAAAAATCGAAATTAAAATCTTAAATTATCATTTAATTAATTTAAAGATGTGATCAATATAGTTATTAAATGTATTTGACAGCCTACCATAAGTCTTTGTTTCTCCGTTATATACTCCCAGGCCAAATCATAAAACTTTGATAAAGGCTGTAAATGCTCACCCAGTTCGGGCATTTGTGAGAACTTATTTTGGGCCACTTCCAATTGTTTTTGTTGAGCTGGCAACTGCAACTTTTGATTGAACTCCTTAAATGAATATTTCATTATATCCTCTACCTTAATGCTTTCAATACGTAGACAGGTCAATATCACAGCGTAACGCAAGATAAATTGTGATTCTAATTTTTCAGGTTTACCCAAAATCATAGAACGTAAATCCTGTACAGGGGGTACGTTCGTTTTGCACAATAAAATAACACAACCATTCTTATCGTGACCTCTGCGTCCAGCACGGCCAGCCATTTGTATATATTCGCCCGGTTTAAGATTACGAACTTCTAAGCCATCAAATTTACGATGAGAATCAAATATGACAGTACGTGCTGGCATATTGACGCCCATAGCGAATGTTTCAGTGGCAAAGAGTAGCTTCACCAGACCAGACTGAAAGAGCATTTCAACAATTTCTTTTAGTATAGGTAAAATGCCACTGTGATGTACACCAATGCCGCGACCAAGAGAGTCTTTCATGGTTAAAACCTGTGGTAAGACGCGATCCGGTGGTTTCAGCTTCGACAAACACTGTTGGAAGAACATTTCTACAGAACCTCTCTCGCGTGCTGTATTTAAATCAATAGATTGTAGGGCCTAGTATGAAAATAACAAATATGTATGTAATAATAAAAAACATTGTTTGATAAAAGCTCTTTCTTACCAAAGCATTTCTATCACATCGATTTCTCGACAATGTAAATGCCACTACCGGCATTTTATCATTGCGTTTCAGGAAATCTATTAAACCAATCCATGTATTCTGATCCTGTTTCGGCGTGGTTGATTGATTTTTAGCTCCCGTACCACCGCCCATTCTTTTCGTTTTACTTTGCATGGCCTCTCTCCTCTCGACCGCCTTATCATAGCCATCCTGTAAGAAACGACCATGTTCGTCGACCAGCAGAAAAATATCATCTTTACTCTTGCCACCAGATCCGGTATACAGATAATGCATTAAAGGAACCGGACGCTTCAGAGTACTTATCACATACACTTTACGTTTTTTAGTGCTGCCTACCCAATCAGCCAGCTCCATAGTGTTTGGCACAGTGGCCGATAACATTATGATATTAACATGGTCGGGTAATAGAATAATAACTTCTTCCCAAACATGACCACGATCTGGATCATTTATATAGTGTACCTCATCAAAGATGACATATTCTAAATCACGTGTAATATCACTACCACAATAAAGCAGAGATCTCAGGATTTCTGTGGTCATGATCAAACAGGTGGCAGTGGGATCAATTTGTAAATCGCCTGTAATGAGACCAACATCTTTAAAAGTCTTTTTGAAGTCACGATATTTTTGATTAGATAAAGCCTTAATGGGTGAAGTGTAGATGGTGCGTGTCAAATCTCTTTGTGATAAAGCAATGGCATATTCTGCTACCACTGTTTTGCCAGCCGAAGTATGGGCCGCCACGAATACGTATTGTCTTTCCTCTAGTTTTAATATGGCTTGTTTTTGGAAAGTATCCAACTCAAAGGGATAGCTCATGGCGGGACAGGGTATTTTCTCCTTAAAATCAGTAATCGGCTGTGATATATCCAACATTTCGGCCCATTCTGTACGTAAATTTGTTTCTTTGGTGTTGGAAATTTCCAACACAGGTTTCAGTTCTGAAGCCATTATATGCTCATCTACATCTTTAAATTCTTCCGATGGCTGGTTATTTAAACTGTTTGCTTCCGAATTCTTTTCCGCATCTTCATTTTGGGTCATTTTCAGCCATTCCTGGACATCTAAATCGTCTTCTAGATTTCTAAGCAAATTAACATTTTCCTCTGTTTTGATGGGGATGTAAAGCTCTTCCTTGTACTTGGGATTATGTTTAAAATCATAACCAGTCTTAAAACCCGGAGGAGTAGTTAGTAACTCTCCTTCAATTTCGAAACCTTGTGTTTCTAAACGTTTGATTTCCTTGGCCGGCTCATCCAAACCGCCTGGCCAGAAGGGATAATTCATGGCCGATCCTCTAGTTACTTCATCTAACAAACCCGGTTCACGTTTCATTGATGTCGAATTATTGGCATTTGCTCCCACATCTTCTAAATCCACTTCAACAAATGCGCTAATTTGACCGGTAATCAAATCTCGTTTGGGTACCAATTTTGTGCTCGCCGGTCCTCGCGGCAAATTCAACAAACGCATTTCATTGAATTTTCTAGGTATTATATCCGGCAGGGGATCGTGTATTGATAACTCTGGTGAGAGTATATAGTTTTGTAATTTTTTAATATTTTCATCATCAATAGTGGCCATTTTTCCAAAATTCCATCAACAATTGTTTTTGCTTTCCTTTTCCTCACTGTGTTTATTGCAATTTCAGCATATTTATTCACAACAATTTGTAAGGGCGTTGCCAAATTGTAACGAATTTTTTGCAGCTTTGGCGATTTTTGTGCATTGATGATATCGAATACTTGTTTTCAAATAATTTATGTTTTTAACTTTTTATGAACTCAATAAAGTAACCAAATAGATAATATACAAAACAAAAACTATTTACTGTATTCTGATTTTTAACAGGTTTTATTAATATTTAATGCACCACCAAACCCACTAAAATTAGCCTCAGAAACTCTATTAAAAATCATTTACGTGTTATGTGGCAACTTTATATTAAACATTTTGACAGTTCTCTTTTAACTTCTCATTCGTTTCATTTTACTGCCCATTTCAACACATTCTGTGGCTGAATATTTTTAAAGTGATTTTTTCCTAAAAATCATAACTTTTTAAAGGAAAATTCCAATAAACAATAAAAAACAGACATGGCTCTTAATATGTTGCTACGTAATGCTACCAAATTCAACAGTAAGTAGAAGGGTGCACGTAAAATCTTTAGAGAATTTGAAAATTTTAATTATGTAAATTATATAACTTGAGATGGGATATTACTGAAAAAACCCTAAACTATTTATTAAAAATGTTAAACAAAAATGCCTTTTAAAGGTGCTGCTGGTTTGATGAAATCCGCACGTTTGACCCCCTTGAAGACCTATGCTACAGTAGTAGCTGCTCAACGCAATGCCTTGGTTAAACCTTTGAGTTTGGTCAAAAATGCTGCCGTAAGTACTGGATTAGTAATACATATTATTTTATTTGTTATATTATAGAGATTTTCTACGTTTTTAGCCTGTCAGCCGTAACATTGCATTGAGTGCTCCACGTCTGTCAGCTGAGGGTGGTAATCACACTGCTTTGTGGACCATTGAACGTGGTGTTTCCGTAGCCCTTTTGGCAGTTATTCCCGCAGCCTTTTTATTACCTTCCCAGTCCATGGATGCTTTGTTGGCTGTATCCTTGGTTTTGCACACCCACTGGTAAACTACTGTTTGTGTTCATTTTTTGTCTATAATTATTCTTAAACATTTCTTTATTTTTTAGGGGTATTGAAGCCATGGTTACCGATTATGTCCGCCCCGCTGTGGTAGGCAATGTTTTACCTAAAGTTGCTCATGGTTCTTTGTTATTGATTTCTATGGCCACTTTGGGTGGTCTTTTCTACATGATCTACAATGACATTGGTATTGCCAAATCGGTTAAGAAATTGTGGGCCGTTAAAGGTGTTTAAGCACATTTAGATTCCTCCTCCAGATGCCATCTATTGTGGAAATTTCCTTTGTTATATATTTTTAGTTAAAATAACTAGAATTTTTGGCTTCTTTTGCAGCTAAATATAACGGTGAAAGTACTAATTAAAATGTTTGATTTTAAGTTAAAAAACGGTAGAATTCAATATGATATTCAATTTGAGAAAAAATGTTTAAAAATAAATTAATAAAACGAATGAATTTAAAATTATTTTAGGGCTTTTTGCAAATCTCTGTTATTAGAACATTCAGAAGATAAAATATTGAGATGCTCATTTTTACTGTTACGAAACTTTTAAATAGAGCCTTAATAAAAATATAAAAATGAAGTCTTTTGTTGTAACAGTTCGACTATGGACTATACTTTTTTCTTGGAGCTCGTCAGAAACAAATCAGCATTCCTTTTCCAAGAAATTAATTCAACTACATACATCGAAAACATTAAAAATTAACACTCGGAATTAAATCTTAAAGAATACCTTTATAGGACTTATAAACTTTTTATATAGACAACTGATTTCAGAAAATTTCCATGAACAAATCTATTTATATTTTTAAAAACAATTGACAAAAGAGGTGTTCAGTGACTAAAGACTTAAGTCAATACGCATGATGTAATAATAACTTAGTGCATCCTGTCAATACGTTTTAAATATTTTCCCAATTAAATAAATTCCCCAAAATTCGTTATATTTCTAATAAAAAAATGTCTTCAATTCTTTTAAGAAATTATTTAAAAAAAATGTATTGTAAGTTTTCTTTAATAGTTTAAAATTAACAAACTTTGATTAACAAAATCAAAACTATTTCCCAAAGATAAATCGTGCTATTATCAATTTAACAAAAATTACAAAATCTTGATTCATAATCCTAAAAACAAAACATTCAAAATATTGCCGCTGAAACCACATATAGCAATAAATAATCAAATTACGCGTTTTCAAACATCCAAGTCTATTACAATAAAGGAATATGAAACTAGTCGTAAATATACATGGAACTGGAAACTTGAACGTTTGATGGGCTGGTCTTTAACAATTTTAATACCATTGGCTTTTGCTATAGAATCGAAAGAATTAGAAATGTTATTGGCTACGGCAGGGTTAATGCATACTTATTGGTAAATACTCCCTTATTTAAGAATTGTATTGACTAATCATATACATATTACAATATTCCCTTTGCGTAGGGGCTGTCAATCCATGTGCAGCGATTATCTACGTTCTTCCAACGTAGGCAAAGTCCTGCCTATTATAGTGCGTTTTGCGGTAGTTGTACTGACATTTGCATCTTTGGCTGGTATTTATCAATTGATTTATGAAGATGTCGGTCTTATTAATATGATTAAAAAATTTTATTCTATAAGAGGCCGGGATTATGTACCACCCAAACAATTGCAGAATGTAGATCTCGAAGAAAAACAAAATGTTTTACGTTTGTTTTTCAGAAAATAGTCTAAAAATACTTTTTATTATTTTGTTTGAATAAAGAAAATATGTACTTATATATAATCAGCATATTCGTAAATATGCATTTGGTTATTTAGATAACGTTCAAAATATTTAACAAAATCAACAAAAAATTACAACACACATTCACAACTTTTTGCATAAGAAAAACACATTCAATCGCCCAAAACACATTGACGCATATTTAAGAATTATATTTCCTGTTAATTGTTGTTTTTAGGTCACGACTTTTGTAAGTGATTTTGATGGAATAATCTGAGGGCATCCCATTGTTTGGTGTGCAGTAAGATATGAGGTCTACAGCTACGCATGTGATTAACAGCTTGTTCAGGAGTCCAACCATTTTTCTAAAAATAACAAAAGATTTTATTTTTAAAGTAAACATTTAAAAAACAAATAGATAACAAAAAATATAGTCGCTTAAGGTCGATTAAATAACACCCCACACTAGTCTGGAGCATATTGAAATGAAAGGAGCTTGAACTAATCAATAATGAGTATTAGAATTTTTGCTGCCAACATCAGACCATACACAATATACCGTTTTAAGTATTATAGGGTATAAATTATAATTCAAATATTTGAACAAAAATGCTTTTTGCAAATAATAAAAAAAGTTTTAAATTACTCACCATCATTAAATAACAACCGACCAGCGTTGCACTGCGAGTACGTCCAGCCTTACAGTGAACGTAAACAGTGCCAACATTTTCCGGGCTTGATGTGGTAGTCAAACCCTTAATACGATTAGTTACAGGAAGAAATTTATTCATAAATTCCACTCCCTTATAGAGTTTATCCTGGCAAGGTGATTCGAAAATGTCTGTGGTGGCCAACTGAAGAAATTCTACTCCCAACAATTGCCATTTGGGAGCATTGTTGGAAAACATTGTCAGTTCATAGTCTTCGTTCATAGAGACAACAGCTTTCATATTCTCATTTTTAATAAGCTATATAAACAATAACCACAACAAAACGAGTTAAAGCTTTTAAGAATAAGTTTAAATCTTAACAAAACTTACATCATTGGCCTGTGAACGGAAAGGTAAAGCACCTAATATAACATTCTCATCGATACGATCATACCAATTGCGTGAGGTAGCCTTCTCCATTAAGACATTATAAAGGAGTGTGGGATAGAAGGAAACACGGGCAAACATAGCAGCCTTTAAAACGATAATAAAATAAATTAAAATTAAGACGGTCTTTACAGCAAAAAAAAAATCCAACAAAGAATTTCTATGAATTTAACGAAACTTTCACTTTGGTACGCGCTTTACAACAAGTCAATTGACATGATCTTTTGTAGTAGTTTTCAAAGTTTGGTAACAAAAACACACACGAGCCGTGTTAACTCTCGAATTTTTAACTTAAAACTGGTTTCAAAGTTTTTAAGGGAGCTTTAAATCACTGAAGAAGATTGCTGCACAGCTCAAGAAATCAAAACCAAAACAAACCAAACAAAAAACTACACAAACACTTGTCAACAGTAGACTTCCTAATGTTATTGTTGTTGTTCTATTACTTACACTCATTTCCATGCCTTTGTTATTGTTGTTATTGTGCGTTATTAGCAAAACAGTAATTATACAAGCACAAATAAATTCTTTATATTTGTTTGGAATTTTGTTGAAGATTTCCCTTAGAATTTTAATGATTATATTTTTTGTTATTTTCTTATAATTTACATAATCCCGTCACTCATACGCTGCTTATTGTTGTGCTTTATGAATTTCTTATTAAAATAAGAAAGAAACAAAATTTGTATTGGAAACAGACATGTGGCGTAACAGCTTAATTACAATTGGAACCACAACCGCTGTCGACAATGGGTTTTCATACATTTTGAATATCCTCTTGTGGTTGGCGATATTGTGGTTGAGATAGATTCTATCAGTGTACACTTAATAAGGTAGCCTCGTCGCTACAACAAATACAACAATACAAAAACAACAGGCGATTTGTTATTGTAAAATAATCCCATCTGTCAAAATAAACTGCATTCGGAGAATAAAAAAGCGACAAAAAACAATAAAAATATGAGTTTTTAGCAAATATTTTAAATTTTAACTATTAATATATTAAATTAATTAAACGTGGAATACCTGAAAATCATTCCTATTTATTTCTTAAAAAAAATTATAATTAAAAAAAAAACATCGTTTTGCATTGTGTTTTTGTGGTCTGTCGACAGTCCCTTAATTTTAATTCATCGCTCGCTCTTTTTGTGTGGTTTGTCGACAGCGGTTCCAATTGTAATTAAGCTGCAAATCTGATAAAAACACAAAAGGGGAGCAGATGATTGGGGAACAGAGTACCGTTAATCAGCTGTTTTGTTTTATTTATGATCTGCTACCCTACAAGAAATGAATGACCGAAACTAACACATACAAAATTATTTTACTAACACACTTGTAGATTTTTTTAGAGAATTCTATAAAAAAATGTATAATTCCATCAACAATGACAGCCAAATGACCGGTAAAATGACCGACACTGTACCAAACGTGTGGTATAAGGTTGCATTTGCATACGCAAGAGTGAAACAACTATATTTTGATTAATATTTTATTAAAATTTATATTTCCATCAACAATGACAGTCAAATGACCGATCAAATGACTGTCACTGTGTTTCAGAGTTGTATTTTTCGTCGTTATAAATTCATTATTTCTGCGAAAGCCAAAGTTCAAGAAGCGAAAAATTAAAAAATATACAAAGTCTATAAATTATTAAAAATAAAGAGAATTATTATAAACTGAATTTAAAAAAAGTGCAGGAAGTGGAGCTGAAGATAAACACTTTGGAGTTTAATCAATCTATGGTAACATGAATACTTACTTTTGATATTTATATTTCGATATTTATATGTATTTCTTTACAGACAACTTATTTCCACAAATTAAAAGGAGAATCAGAGAATTTAAGATTCTGCGAGGTATGTAAAATGGTGAAATGATTGCTAATTTATGTATATGCTTACTATATTAATAAAATTTAAAAAAATAGATATCTTAAAATATTTATAAATTGTGTTTTATTATAAATTGGTATAGCCGTCAGTTTTGACGGATATATTCATCAAGTATGATTAGTCAACAATGACCGATTAATACATCATTTTTTATTTGTTAACTGTGATGGATATATCCATCAAGCATGATCAGTCAATCGTGACTAATATTTATATCATCCTTGATTACTAATCATCAAAAGAGTGAGCAGCTCAAATATATGTGTTAAAATCGATATAATTCATAAGTGCGAGTGTGATGAAAGATCACATGTACACAAAAGTTTCCATCAAGTTTTTCATATTGCCCTTAAGAACTTGATAGAAACTTTGTTCTACGCAATGATCGATATTTCCTTCAGTAGTGTCAGTCAAATGACCGGTCAAATGACTGTCACTGTTCTTGTAGGGTACATCATGTAAACAACAGTAATGACAACATGATGTTTTTTCAGATATATTTGTAGGGTAATAAAACGCTTAATTAGAAGTTATTTAAATTTCTATTTTATTATTTATATTACAATTACATTACATTAGAATTGCGGTAAATTTTGAATCTATACAAACAATTTCTGTAACTTTTCACTTTAATAAACATTTTTGATATATTTAAATTTTATAAATATTTCGATAAATTTCTTTTTAAATAATATTTTCAAAATTTTTTTATTTATAAAAAATATTTGAAAATTGCTTATTTATTTCAATAAATTTTCTATTTATGTGAAACTTTTATTAATTTTCTATTTGTAGAATATATTTGATAAACATTTTATTTATAAAAAATATTCGCAAAATTTTTTTTTGTAGAAATTTTTCGATAAATTTAAAAAAAAATTGTCGTTATAATTTTTAAAATAATCAATAAAATCTTTTTTACTACAAAAAAAATCATAAAATGTTTTATTGATTTGGTTTAAGTTTCAAAAGTACTGTATAAATATAAAATACTACTGTATTTTCCATCCCCGTTGCGGAAAAACTACACACATAACGAAAGGTTGTCAGCACTGTATCATTAGTTTCGTTGACAGTTCTGTAGCTCCACGTCAAATAAATTAAAGGAAAAAACATAAATTGACTGGATAATTTTTAAGCCGCTTATTAAGTTTTATACAATTTATCAATAATAAATTAATTAATTTAAATAAAGTGATTAAAAATGGTTAGTTTAATCAATACTATTGACACCGGTCACGAAGATATGATACACAATGCCATACTAGATTATTATGGTTTACATTTGGCAACTTGTTCCTCGGATGGTTCTGTGAAAATATTCGATGTTAAGAATGGTAATCAAGTGTTGGTGGCCGATCTTAAAGGTCATCAGGGACCAGTGTGGCAAGTAGCATGGGCTCATCCCAAATTTGGCAATATGTTGGCATCATGCTCGTACGATCGCAAAGTAATTGTATGGAAGGAAGGTAGTGCCAATGATTGGACTAAAATGTAAGTAAACAACATAAACATAAGTGAATGATGTCATTTATTATTTTTTTACATATTATTTAGCTATGAATACAGTAATCATGATTCTTCAGTTAATTCCGTGGCCTTTGCTCCGGCCGAGTATGGTTTAATGTTAGCCTGTGGCAGTTCGGATGGTTCCATATCGGTATTAAGCTGCAACACGGAATATGGTGTATGGGATTGCAAGAAAATCCCCAATGCTCATACTATTGGCTGCAATGCGGTGTCTTGGTGTCCCTCGACTGTGCCAGAGCCAGCATTTGACCAGAAGTCATCAACACGTTCATCTGGTATAAAACGCTTAGCCAGTGGCGGTTGTGACAACTGTGTTAAGATTTGGCGTGAAGATAATGATCGTTGGGTAGAGGAAAATCGTCTAGAAGCTCATTCCGATTGGGTGCGCGATGTAGCTTGGGCTCCCTCCATTGGTTTGCCCCGTTCTCAAATTGCTTCTGCTTCGCAGGATCGTCATGTTATCATTTGGAATAGTACCGATTTTACCACATGGTCACCCACCATCTTACATACATTCGATGATGTAGTTTGGTCGGTTAGTTGGTCAATGACCGGCAATATTCTGGCCGTAACTGGAGGAGACAATAAAGTTACTTTGTGGAAGGAAAATAATGAGAATCAATGGACTTGCATAAATGACGATGCTTCAACAGGCGGTGGTGCTCAACAGTCAGAACAGAGAACACTTTGAATATCTTATTTGATTCTCCCGCATTTCTTATCTCTCATTTGAAATTCCAACTATGTTAATATGTCATGTTTGTAAAACATCTATGCAGCATTCTGAAGCAAACATCTTAAGCATAAGCGGCATGAGTTTTTTATTATTATTTTTATTACGAAAACAAAAAGTAAAATTGTAGATAAGAAATTGTTCTACTCGCGTTTGAGAACGTTTTGTCTAGTTCTATATTTAGTTTAAAATAATTAAAAAACAAAAACAAGGAAATCTGTTTATCATTCTTTTTTTCGAAAGCATTCAATTACATTATTTTTCATGTTTTTTGTTTAAACATAAAAATGTTACATTAAAGTATATATTTTTCAAATAAAACTGTGGTCAGGCAACCAATATTAATAAACCAATGTTTAATTTTGAATATATATATTTAATATAAATTAGAGAAGTAATTCAAAGAAATTCGAATACGCTATTCCATTTTAATAAGAAGTTTGGCAAATATAAAAAATTGTGCTAATTTTTGTATTTATTTAATCTTGATATTTAAAACAGCTAGTTTTTTAAGGTTGAACAAAAGGGAGTTTTAAAGAAGAGAAACTGTCAAATTAATACCCTACTACTACCATAAAAATCAACCTGTACAAAAAGGCGGTAAAAAGCATTTATGTGTTTGTTTACTTTTTGATAGCGGAAATAACAAAAATTAATTTGTTTTTTTAGTTTAGTGAAAGTTTGTATAAAGTAGTCTTGTGTAATTGCAAATATTGTTAATAAAATGTAAAATTAAAGTATTTTTAGGGATTAAATATGAGTTAGAATGAAAATGTGTATCTATCAGCATAAAAGATTACCCAAATAGTAGTTGTACAACAAAACAACTACCCAAACAGTAAAGAAATTTACATGTTTTCTTGTTTTTCATATAAATTCGGTAAGTTTAATTAAATTACCTAAATTAATTTTAAAGGATACTCATATGTTCAAATCGATAAAGTTAAAAGTTTTGGACAGAAATGTAAATTAAAAATTGGTTATAGTTCATGTTTTGGGACGATTAAGGAATGTTCTTTTATGGCTTCTCATAGTGTGTCTCTTTTATGATATTTTGCCATAGCTGTCTGTCAATTTGATAGGCAACAACAGCTTATACAAAAACTATGAGAAATGTTACCATTATTTTTATAAATATCGATTACTGATCTTCCAAAACAGTATTCATCAGGTGAATGTCATATTTATGTACATATGTCGAATAATGAATCTTAAGAACTTGTTGTTAATATGGAAGCTATATTACTGGTAACATGCTGACTTACTCAATATGTCACTAAAAAACGTCGTATATCTCGGAAACTGGTACAACTAGAGTCCTCAAACTTTGCACGGGCAACTTAGATAATATGTACACGAACATTCGGGAAAAATGGGCAAACTAGCAATAGTGGGTATGACACATTCCACGCCTAATATTGCTAGCCAATACGAAATGGCGTAAAGTTTAGAAACTATAACATCTAAACTTTCCAAATTTTTAACGATAAACTTTAGTGTCAATATGAATACTTTGTGTAAAAATGGACTGTGTGGTCGTGTTATCTCCCATATAAAGTTAATACTGAC